TAGAGTACATCCCTCAACGCATCATCAATGTAAGTTTAGTCAATCTGAATGTAGAGCTTACAGTTAGCTGATAAAGGAAACATATGGTGATAACAAACAGTATTCAAGATTAAAAGTTCATAAAACAATACAAAATAGGAGCAGAGCAAACACGGACCTCCAAAACATTAGAGAAGGGATCAGGTGCCATGGAGGAGTGAGTATCTGCTGCCGACCGGTCACACCCGCTGTGTGCTGTTCCTAAACTTAACCTTGATTAGTCGTATTAAAATTGCTCATTAGTTTCAGAATCCAATGCATTTCTGATTGTGTACATCACTACAAGCTTTATCCATGCATGTTTCATCCATATAGTATATTGGAAACAGACTTGCTCAAAAACACTAATTTAAAAATGATGTTTAGATTCATCATTGGTATTGTGTTTCTTGGAAATGGACTCGTTCCTAAGGATTAAATTTTATGTTTGACCAGAACGACAGAGATGAGGTGTAGCATAAGATGGTTTTCTTTTCAGAAACGTTGTCAGAAATTCTTACCTGGTTGAAATTTGAATTAATGGTAATTCAGCTGAAAGTACTTTGTGTTTGTAAAAAAAATATAATGAAAACAATGCAAATTCGTGCATGAATTAGATTAATAATATCTAATAAATGGAATCATATCATGGTCACGGGTAAATGATTCGTTAAGAAACCTTGCTTTTTAATTGCTCTATCGAATCGATTCCTATGTAAAGAAATCTGACGTTATTAAAGATTAATGGATAGTTTTTGCTTCATTTGTCTGCAAAAACTTTCACATTGGCAATAAAATTTGATCAACTGGAGCTAGGCTTTCATATGTCACAGACATGTATGTTTTCCCTCGTGGCAAGTCCTTTCTTTACGTACCAACATTATTTGGTCTCTTGACCTTGGAGTTTGACAAACTTTTGAAATACTTTAACTATCTTTAACCTTGGCTACAACTTTTAAACAGTTCGTGTCAAAGCTTTCATACTTCACATGTGTATTCCTTGTATAACAACTTACTTTGGACTCGAGTACAATGACCTTGGAGTATGACCCACTTTTAAATGCTGTTAAAACTTGACCATAGGGTTTGAATAATGTGAGTTTTGGAATAATTTTTTTTGTGTATTCCATGTGAGAAGACCTTCTCTTAGGTACCAACTATTTTCACCCTTTGACCTTGATCTTGGAGTTTGACTCACTTCTGTAAAACTTTAATCCTTGTAACAACTTTTGATAAGTTGGTGCTGGAGCTTTTTTCACAGGCGTTTTCATTGCGAAGTACCTCCCTTGGACACCAACAACGCTGAACGGTAGACCTTGAGTCTGACCTATTTTAGAATTAAATGAACCTCTGCCATGAGCTGTCATACAGCCAAAATGCATATGCCATCACATTCAATGAAAAATTGATAATACTATGAGATCAAGGATAAAACAGAACTGGGGTAAAGATGAGACAAATACATGTGCTTGACTGGTAAAATGGGCATGTAACAATTTCTGCTCACGATGAGAAAACAATATTTTGCAACAGAAAAAAGGTTCACAATGAAGGATATGGAGATAACGAGCATTATTCCATATCAAACTCCATAAAACAATACAAATTAGTAGCAGAGCAAACACGGACCTCCAAAACATTTGAGGTGGGATCAGATGGTATGGAGGAGTTATCATCCCTGCAAACCGGGTCACACCCGCCGAGTGCTCCTTCTCATTATCGGGAAATAACGGGAAAATCCGTCGTCAATTCAGTGTATAAATAATGGACTAATAATCAATATGACAAGAGGCCCATGGGCCACATCGCTCACCTGATCAGCTTTGCCATTCTGTGTTTTACCAAATTTCCCCCTTGAAATACATAATGCATCCCCACCCTACCCCATTGATCATAATTTAGACATTTTGAAATCTACACCACCCCAGGATCCTTTCATGTGCACATAGTTTCAGCTTTTCTGGACCAGTGGTTCTTAAGAAGATTTTCAAAGATTTTTCCTATATATTTCGATGTAAAACTTTGATTCCCAATGGTGGCCCCATCCTTCCCCCGGGGTCATGATTTGAACAATTAAGAATCTACACTACCCCAGGATGCTTCCACATAAGTTTCAGCTTTTCTGGCCCAGTGGTTCTTGAGAAGAAGATTTTCAAAGATTTTTCCTATATATTTCTATGTAAAACTTTGATTCCCTATTGTGGCCCCACCCTTCCCAGGGGGGTCATGATTTTAACAATATAGAATCTACACTACCCCAGAATGCTTCTACATAAGTTTCAGTTTTTCTGGCCCAGTGGTTCTTGAGAAGAAGATTTTCAAAGATTTTTCCTATATATTTCTATGTAAAAATTTGATTCCCCATTGTGGCCCCGCCCTTCCCCCGGGGGTCATGATTTGAACAATTTAGAATCTACACTACCCCAGAATGCTTCCACATAAGTTTCAGCTTTTCTGGCCCAGTGGTTCTTGAGAAGAAGATTTTCAAAGATTTTTCCTATATATTTCTATGTAATTGATTCCCCATTGTGGCCCCGCCCTTCCCCCGGGGGTCATGATTTAAACAATTTAGAATCTACACTATACCAGGATGCTTCCTCATAAGTTTCAGCTTTTCTGGCCCAGTGGTTCTTGAGAAGAAGATTTTTTAATGACCCCACCCTATTTTTGTCTTTTCTTGATTATCTCCCCTTGTGAGAGGACTTGGCCCTTTATTTTAACAATTAAATTCCCCTTTACCCAAGGATGCTTTGTACCCAGTTTGGTCAAAATTGGCCCAGTGGTTCTTGAGAAGAAGTCGAAAATGTGAAAAGTTTACAGACGGACAGACAGACAGACGGACGGACGACGGACAAAATGTGATCAGAAAAGCTCACTTGAGCCTTTGGCTCAGGTGAGCTAAAAAAAACGTCAGTCAGCATTTGACTTGATAAATTGTATTTGCTGACAAAGTCATTATATCGACCAAAGAACTTACGAAATGATGACTTTAAACGAGACTGCTGATATTCTTGTTTCGTCAACTTGTTTGTCAATAATTTACCTCGTTTGAGAAATTGTTAATACGTATATACGTAGAGCATGTTCTTGCTCTAGATCGAATCAATTGAGATATATAAACTCCGTATGCAGGTGATGAAGGTATATTGCTGCATAAATAAGGGAAGTTGACGATAGAAAATTGAAAGTCATCACTTTTATCATAGAGCTTGGTTGTTAAATTACCATTAACGTCTTTTTCAAGTAATACATCCAAGTATGAAACAGATGTTACAAACTCTGTGGTATCTGTTATCTCAAGCTCACCAGGATATATCGTATCGACATAGGAATGGAAATTATCATTGTTAATTGACAATACGTCGTTGATATATCTAAATGTCGAGTTGAAGGCCACAGCAAGTGTTTTCGTCTTTTCACGAACAAGATTTTGCATAATTTCTGCTTCATATGAATACAAAAATAGATTTTCCAATAACGGATCGCAACTGGTACCCACAGGAATTCAAATAGATTGTTGGAAGACATGGTCTCCAAAAACCACATATTGTCCATCAGAAACTCGAGCATCTTTTAAATGTGAACTTCAGAGTACTTGTGGGTGCAATCAGAATGTGTTTAAACAAAATAATTTTGCAAATGACCAATGACCGGGTTAGTAAATTTACTAGTTCTCTTTTTATTGAAAAAGCAGATGTCAATGATACAAAAAAGCCTGGACTTTAATTTATCGTGGGGAATGGTTGTGTATAAAGTTGAAAAGTCGTAAGTTTTTAAGCTGTTAATTTTGATAAAATCTTGTGATTTCAAATTGTCAAAAAGTTCTTCGGAATTTTTTGAGTATCCACACCTGATTCACACCACTTCTTGAATATATTGTTGCACATTACTCTTGGAAGTGTTTCCTTCACTACTGTCAATATCTTAGTTAGGAGTAAAGAAAGAGGCTTGGTTGAACATTTACTGGAACCCGCAATTTATCTTTGTAAGGATTCTTATGAAGTTTGGGAATCCAATATATATAGGGTAGTTCAAATTCATTTTAATCACTATGTTCTCTACTTAACTGACGAACAAAGCTCTATGGTACACTTCAAATCATTAAAATGAATATAAGTAATCAAAATTAGAATTTTTGAAGGTATTATTCTTCTAATATAAGGGTATATCTTTCAAAATTTGATTTTTTGAAGGTGACTATTATTCTTCTATATTTCACACAGTCTGCTCAAAGGCCGAGGTGTAATTGCAGCCCTTATATTAACAATAGGTATACAATCAATCAATCAATCTTAAGCTATAACCAATCCTGAAACACTCACTGCTCTTTTCTGGCACACAGTACTCATTTTACTTGTACAAGATAATCAAGATATCTCAAAATTACATTTTCAAGTCATAGTTAAACAAGGAGCAACATTTAATTTCAAGCGTTTTAGACATTGTTGCATTGCAATTATGCTATAATTAAAAGCCAAAGACCATGTTTACCAGGCAAAAAAGCAGTGAGATACTAGAACCTTCCCTTCTCTATCCCCATATAAGCTAAGCAGATTCACATTTAGCCAGCATCTTGTGGCATTTTTGTGCACATTACTGAAAATGAAACAAATGTAGCTACAAAAAAAACACTATAATTACAATTTAAGTTTACCAGAGGAATAAAGAAATGTTACACATTATTCTGAATGTTATGTGTTAATTCTAGATTGGGTGGTCAAACTAAAAGGTGAGTTGAGCTCCTGAGATATGTGTGCTGTGAGATTAGAATCACTGAAACTTAGGCCACCTTGTCTCGAGATGTTAGGTCTCAAACAAAGTGAAGCAGTGATAGGAAGAAAAACAAGACTTTTACCCAGAAAAAGAGAAATCCAAATTCCTATAAATGTTGCTTTGATATCTACAAGAGAACAAGTGTTTGTGTTATAAATCCAATTCAGATAGAGACAACTATAAAGGAACTAGATGAACTAAAATATGAGTACTAAATAATAAAGTCACTTTTTATTTCAGCAGTTTCACAATGATGAAAACTGAGTTCAAGATATACTATAAGAATACAGTGACAGATATTTTTTTTATTCATAAACTAATAAACAATCAATCAAATGTTAAAACACAAACAAACAAAAAATAAAATTTTTAACAAGACTGAAATTCAATCATAGATATCTGCCTTGTCTGAAATATCAATTAAATTAAACAGACATATATACAGACAGTTCTCATAAGCTTTTCACAATGAAATAAATTACAAGGAAATACCGTTCAAACTTGTTGATAAATAAAGAAACCATCAGTCAATAGTAAAGCACTTGAATGTGTTAATGTGAAGTTGATCTTTTCAAGAGTTAACTTATGAATGTGACTATTGTTATGACTTGCTTTGTACCAGTATTGTTTTTCTAAATGTCTTCTACTAATTTATGTTTTTATTTTAAGACTACAGGGAGGTTTCAGCTTCTGTATTCTAAGTTTTACAAAAAATATTTGGTCAGTCTGATGCTTTTCAAGATTTGTGAATATAAAGCAAATGAAACTTGGATATTCCAATTGTTTTATCTTTCAATGCAAGAGATATACATGTATTTACAAGGAAAATATCATAAAAATATTTGCTACATGTTTTGGTAGTTACTTATTTTGAAAAAAAAAAATATATTACAGTGTTAAAGCTATGGGGAAAAAAATTGAGAGCTTAATAGTTCTATCAAGGATAAGTATTCGTCTCCATTAAAATTTTGTAAATCTTCATATAAACATTTACCTGAATCAACAAACTCTTTGAGTATTCCATTTTGGCAAGATAACCCTACTTCTAAGACAAATATATTTAAATTTTTTCAATCTCAAGATAATTTAATGTCTTTATTTTAATACTTGCTTTAAAAACAAAAATGATAATACTTGAATTTCATTTTTTTATCAGTCAAATAAAATTGTGCTTATTAGCATGATTTAAGAGTTCGCTATTCCAATATAAGTCATATCAATTTTCATTTGTTTGGTGAAGAAATAATTTAATTGGTCAAAAATTCTGATTGTAAGCTGACACTTCTCTAAAACGTTCACGAAAAAATTTTTCAAATTAGAATGCCACTTATAAACAAGAAAAAAATTGAATACAACCATCAACAAACACATGTATACATTTCTGTTTGGTTTGTTCTTGTACAACACATTTATCCAATCATAAAATAACATAAATATAATTACCATAAATTTTTATATATATATATATAAATCATTCAATACTTTAAATACTTCATAGCACAAAAAATGGCAGCCTGATACGGAAAAAAATGAAATGCAATGAATGAATTTATACAGTTATGACTCTCATCAAGTTTAGAGAACTTTTCTGATCTTCACTTTTCAGAAAGTAGAAAATTTTAATATATCTCGCATTAATCAGCAATATAAGTGTATTATTGAGATAAACCAAGAATGTCCTATATTTACATTTCTTCCCTTTAATATCAATATTTTTGTTGTTGTCAAGAATTGAAGATTTAAGATAAGAATTAAATGACTAGACTTATACTTGCACTTCAGAGGTAATTAACGAATTCACAAAAACAAGTGAAAAGTATCCTCCAGAAAAATTCACAGAAGTACAAATGTACTACTTAAATATCTAAGAAAAATAGGTATTCTACATTACATAAATATAAAGTAGAGAGGTTGAAAATAATATATATATATATATATTTTGATGATGAGTAAAAAGATGACTATTGGAAACGTGTGGAGAACAGTGGACCACACACACAGTTAGTTTACTAGAGAGACTTGACAGACTGGTTTGTCTGTCTGTCTGTTAGTGGTCTGTAATGATGAAAGGGGCACACTCAGCGGAGATCTGAAATGCTGGCCTTGTCGCCAAATACCTGAATTAGCTGTTCCTCGTATTCGTCTATGTTTCTTTTCATTATATCCATGCATGGACCTAGTAAACGCTCAAATGCCTGTACATCTAGCACTGCAATAAGAGATAAAACCTCTCCAAAAAACAAAAACAAACTGAAACACACTTCATATGAATCAATTAACTACAGACTTTGTGTTTCTTTCTTTAGAGAAATATTTTTTTTATCAAAATAGCAATGTAAAAGATTTGCTGATAATCAAAAGTCAGCAATTTAAATTGATGACGGGTGTTTTTTTTTTTACATTCTACCCAAATAGCTGATCAAATTATTAGAGAGAGTCATCTCACCTGCACACTTAGTTTTACCCACGGCATACGCGGTGGCAGCTCTTGGTTTATGTGTAACAAGGGCCAGCTCTGAAAAACGACAGAAACATTGTATTTTATCATTTGTTCAATTAAAATTATTAAAGTCTGATTAGTGTCCATGAATTTAACAATGTTTGTTACCCTCAGCATTAACAACACATCTGACAATGGGTAAATCAATGATAAATTGATAATGTACTGTGGGTAAATTATGCATGTATGGTTTGCTGTGGAATTCTCAAACCACCAGTTGTGCACTTGATAGAGGCCAAATAAATTTGACATCAAAGTTTAAAATAACAAATTTTTCTATGAAAAGGGATTCTCTGAGTATCAAACAAACAATAAAAAGTTCAGTGTTTTTCTTAAAAGCCTTCTTATTGAAATTCCCTGTGCATGGGTTGACAATGGTTTTCCTTGGAGAGTTAAGGATAAATAACACAAACAAACTTTTTTCACAAATCAGCATTATTTCTCATCGATTTACATTTAAATTGACAACCTGAATAATGTTTACCAAGTACAGTGGGAGAATTTTATAAGATTTTGTCATAAAGTTAAAAAATTGTGCAAAATTTTGTATGGAATTATATAGAAGGCAAAATAAAATCTCAAATTTAAGCACCAAGGAAAACCTACGATTTCTTTATAGTTCAGGGATTTATTATTTATGTCATTGCAAATCAAAATCAGTCAAAAAATATATATCAACCCGCGCATCCATTTTTTGTTTGTGGTAAGTACCCTTAATTTCAATTGTTACCCTCTAACACAGGCACTATTGTTGTTAGTTCTTTAGGTAAATGCAAAACAGTTCTGAGTTTGTATAACTAATCTGAGTACCTCCAAAGTAGCCTCCCTTTGTGTATCGTTTGACTTCCACTTCTTTACTCTCTGGGTCTCTCTGTTAAAAAAAAAATTAAATTACATTTAAGCTAATGTATTTACCTGCCAAAAACTTAACATTATTTATTCAATGTCCTCTTACTGGACTTAACAAATATAGAAAAATTTCAACCAAAAAACAAAAATTTACTTCTAACCACAACCACAATGCTGGAAAGAGCTGGAAAGATGTGTTTAAGCAATAATATTGCTGCACTTGTTCCACAAGTTAAAAGAATTCATACATATGCTCCAGTCCCTGCCATTTTCATAGCAAGCTTTTTAAAAGTCAAGCTTGAGCAGGACTTAGGAAGCTTGAGTGCTGAACTAATCTAAACAAATGCAGTCAAGATACCTTGTAAAGCAGTTATTTTATCAAAAATAGGATACAACCTTTCAAAGGTATCAGACAAGGTGAAGTGCACTACAACATTGCTACCAACAAACAGTTTTAAAAACATCCATATTTTGACAAAAATGTTTGAAAGCATGTTCTCATGAATACTTATAATTCACCATTTTTTTCTTAATTTGAACAATAAAAATGATATGTAAAAATCATCACCTCATTGTTTATCACATATCTGCATAATAAATACTTAATGACCACAAATTATTAATGATGGTGCAATATAAACTCCTACAGTTAAAATCAACCTGTGTTCGACCAAACCAGCTTTGCATAATATAAGCTTCAATCTGTATTAATTTACAACCCTTGTCCTATGAAAGTGTGATATAAAGGCATTTTGTAAATCAATGATCCACATCATTGCATTTCTTATGTAAAGTCTGATACTTGCATTCAATATTACCACCCCGAAAATGACATACAAATAGGAAAAGTTTTATAATAACTATTTTCTTGATACATGCCTTAAATAAGGCAAATTTATTACTAGAAACAAATAAAACTATTTTTCTAAGTTTTGGTTGTGTGTATTATATGAAATGAAGCAGACAGTCACAATGAAAGGTTAGTTCACAACAGTGGAACATCGTGACTGCCACAACAGCAAGTATCGAGATTATAGGCAAACAACAGAATCTGTGTCCATTGCAATATTCTCACCCCTTCTTCATTTTCATCCTGAAACAACCAGTCATTGTCACATATCAACATTTTGTACATACATTAATCTGGCATCTTTATCAAAGAAACAGTTATTTATACTGCTAACCCCAACATACTTGACCAAATCCTGAATCTTGCTCATTTAGAATATAATCAGTTGATATTCTGGGTTAAAATTGTTATTCAAAGAATAGAAACATTTCCCAACTACCTCAGTTTACATTGACATTCCATTTTCAAAACAAGTTTAATGATGTTATGTTCAACAATAGTCAATACACGGCAAACAGTGTCCTTTCCAAGGCCATAAACACATTTATCTGACATGATTATTAGAATTATATGCAACATTATACCCCCTCTTCTGACACCCATGACAAAATAGGACCAATAAATATGTAAAACACACTAATTTACCTTAGTTTTTTCTCTGAACTTTGAATAAAAAAAATAATAAAACGCGCTTTAAAAATATTGTTGGACTTTGAATTTTTAAAAAGTAGTATAAGAACCATATACCTGTGTATCATGATACAGTTTCAGTGTAAACATATCACAAAATGCTCTACTCATATCATCCCTAGTATCAGGAGTCACATAATAATCAAAGAACCCCTGTTTCATTTATATTCTATATTATAGTGAAACTGTAATATAATTTTATCGTGCAAATTAACACACATTATGCTCAGCAATGTGTCAGTTTGGTATTATTTAGTTCTTTCACTCATCATTTCAAATTTTCTTGCAATTCTCCTTTAATATCTGGTAATCATGAAAAATACAATTTCACTGAAGAAATACACATTTATAGTTTAAAGTTTCAACTGTCTAATGACATCAATTGCACTCCTTGGCAACTGAGTAAACAATACTGTGATTTATTTCCTCCAACTGATATGTATACCAATAAAAATCACTTTAGAAATGGGTAAGTGGTAAACAAAGCAGTTCACAATGTATTTGTAGATGGTGTTGTCTATTCACAGCTTTTCCAAATGGAAGCTTGACACACCACAATGCTGTCTCCTTGGAGACATATAAATCTCCCCCATTTTCCTCACTTCAGAGGCCTGTTCAACACTGCGAGGGCTCGCTAACATTTCTATTAGAGGTAACAGGAATTTTGGCGAGCGCTCACTCTGTTGAACAGGCCTCTGGTTAACATTTAAGGTATTTTTTTTAATCTTAGAATGTTCAATTCTTTGGTTTCTTAATTTCATCCTTTACCATTTTGAAAAAGTTACTGGATATACTTTTTTATTGTGCTATTGTTTTTTAAAAATCAATGTAATATCTGGTGATCTTATACTTAATGCCTTTGTCTCTATATTGCTTAAGTGATGCTTAGAATTGTTTGCAATTAAAAAAAAAACATTTTAAAAAAGTGAATTCGAGCAAATATTCACTACATTTAAAAGACTGCATCAAGAAAAAAAATTGTTCATGCCACAATTCAAAATTTCTGTGAAAGGAAAAAGTAATATGTAGATGGCAAGAATGTGTGTGACATTGAAGGAAGTGAGTACAAGCAATAAGAGACATATACACAGGGGATAACAGGTAGATATAAGTATAGAAATGTTGTAGGTACATACCTGGTTTTTCACGGTCACTCGCACTTCTCCGTCCTCAATAAAGTACATACAGTCAGCTTCATCACCCTGTCAAAGGAAAGGAAGATCAGTTACAGGTCTACCAATCATTGTAAAATCATAGGGAAGAGAGACACACACAATATACAGTTATCACAAGATAAAACGGCTATTAATCTTCTTATAATTACCTCAATATTGACCTGTTTTTTATTACCTTATATACCACATACTTTATGTTTACCTGTTTTATAATTACTTCACCGTCCTCAAATGTCTTGGTGACCAAGGCATCAGCCACATTCATCTTTTCATAAGGCTGAAATCAGAAAAGTTAATGATTAATCATTTTTAATATAAACACCTTCTTTATGACATATAAATAAATGATTTTGCTCTCTTTTTTTGGCATAATTTAAAACAAAATCTGTTGACATTAAAAGTGTCCTTTTTATTTTCATTAAAGATTAACTGGAAGTGATCTTTGATTAATTTATTAAAGAAAACCTTAAAGGTCAAGGTAAATGGGAGTTATTAAAGTTCAGCATAAATAACAGGTTTTTTTCTGTTTTCAAAAAATTAGATTAAAAAGAGGATTTCTCACAAAAACCTGAGAAGGGTGATGGGTGAGGTTGAGAGGCCTAGCTGTTAATAATGCCTTTTGTTCAAAGATTTGAGTTATGCAACTTCTCAAAGAAACTGATCATAATCAAAACACGGTCACAATTTTTATGCTTGGAATCAACTCTGTCTTTTTTTTTTTTAATCCTAACCCATTTATTTCCAAATTTACACTTGTCCTATTTTCAATCATTAGCTAGTTGTTGTTCATTACCACTTCAGGGGTTCAAAATTTTTTTTTGTCATGGTCAAGTCCAGGACTTGAGGAGTAAATTTTAGGCAAGTCCGAGGAAGAAATTTCAGAGTCCATATTTACCTATACATCATTAAATTTATGTAACTTATAATTTATTTTCATTTGTTGCATTGACTGAATAAAGACTATAGGTATTAATATATGTTTTATTTGTCCTCCATAAACTGTCATATACATGAGTATTTCAACACAATACCAGACTGATAGATTACTTGTACATTACAATAACTTTTACAAATACTCACTACTGAATAAACCATCTGTTACAATAAATAGAAATTAGAATGTGCTGTAAGTCACAGCTAAAACCGAAATTTAACAAACTCATTGCCGTTTGTCAAATAGGAGGAAACATGAGGAATTGCGTAAAAGCAAGAGTCTAACCGCAATGGAAAATAAAAAGACGGATTGTATTTTCGAAACGTTCGTAATGTTTTATGGGTATTTTTAATTTAACGCCCACCAACCCACATTTTTACTTAATACATTTGAGAATTTGCTTTATTTTTAGCTTTACGATCATTTTTTTAACTTATAAAAAAAGATAAACAAGAAACATAGCCAAGTCCCAGGACTTTGTCTTTTTTTTTTTAAATGCCTAGTCCATTTATCCAGAATTTGTTAGTCCGGGACGTCGGACTTGAGGATTTTTGAACCCCTGCCACTTTTTCATCTATTGTTTTTAACATAGAAACATTATACATTTATTGACTTGGTTCAAAGGCAGCATGGCTTTTGTCGGACCAAACTTTAACATGCATTTATCTTGTATTGTCTTCCGTGATGTAACCTGAGGTAAACTCGCTCAATTCTCTCTTTGTTGAACACCAACAAATGCAAATGAGATTCAGCCCCACCCATTGTGTGACATAAGCGGTCCAACATCGCGTTGACAGGTCCAACATCTTACTATGAGGTCAAATATCTGGGTATTTTTTTATGACCTCTCATTAAATCATTAAAATTGTTAAACTTGTTTTTGTAAAGATTAGTATATAGACACAAATTGTTAAAGGTATAAGAATGTCTATAAATTAAGTTCTCACTTACATCTAGTGTTTTTAACATGGGAACATTGTCTATTAAGTTCTCGTACATCTTCCTCTTGTTGTAGGCATTCTTTAGAACAATTCTTCTAAAGGTTTCTCTGTCCTAAAGAGTAAACAAAGAATTCATAGTACACAAATAATTCAAGAATTTCAAAGCTTATTTTGAGAATTCAAATGTATTATTTCACAGGACAATGCATTACTCTAGCAATAAATCACAATTTTAACAGAAATGTCCATTTCCTGAGCATAAAACGTGGCACATTAATCATTTTCAAAGTTACAATATATCTGAATTACTTACAATATTTGTAAGAAATTTTATTATTAAGAAAAAGAATCATACATGTATACCTCAAAAGTTGGTAAATGAACTGATAGAGGAATAATAAAGGCTATGCAATGAAGTTTAAATCTAGAAGTTTTTATTCTCTGTATAATTTTAGAGTTCAAATAATTGAAGGACCTTTGTGTGATTTTATAATATCTTGTATGTTATTTAGCTCCTCTGGATTATATCTTTAGAAAATATCTGATTCAAATTAAACTATATTTTTGTTCATTTTTCTTTAACAAAAAAAAAAATGGTTTTTAACACTTAATATCTGTACAAAATTTGTAGTAATTTATGCTAATTTTTTTGTCTCAGCATATCTGAGATTATGAATTAAGAATATGAATATCTTGAAATTTTATCAGTGGTAAAAATACATTGTAGAGTACAGTACATGTATGTTGCGTATGTCCTTTTATAAGCAAACATTTTAGAGTGATAAAAATTACTCATGGTTAAAAATTTCAAGACATGAATTTTGTAGTAATAATGACTTGATAGCTCAAACTACTTCTTTTAACTATATCAACAGGGAATTTTAAGTGGTTTTTAGATTGATGCATAACAAGTGTATATTTTCCCCACATGTAACACAGCACTTTTATTGTAGTGTAAAGATATACATGAATGAGAACAATGAACAATGAGAAATACCTGCTACATCATGCACACTAATTTATAATGATTTATAAACAGTCCTCATGTATCTGACCTAACCATAAGAGGGGCCAGTGGGGTAAAATCTTACCATGGCCCATAGTCTGCCCTCTGTTGTTGCTACAATAGTTGCTGCCCTTGGTTGATTATACATCAGTGCCAGCTCCCCAAAGCTTCCTTTATTTTCATACTTTCCAACAGTTTTTCCATTTACAATGATATCAAAGAGTCCACTGTAAAAAAAAAAAATCAAAATCAAAATTTGTTCTCTTTTTTGGACAATGAATTCTTTACAAATTAAGTAATGTAAATGATTATTCAGAGTATGAATTATTCACTGTGTCTTGTAGATTTTCACATTTTTAAAGTTTCTACGTTTCAAAGTTCTATGTAAATGTATTCTATATCAATATTCCCCTATTCAAATTAATACATGGATGATATAGCGTATTGACCTCTATCAAGTGCATATATATCAACTTACTTAGAAATTTCATAAACTTGTTAAAGAAATGCATTCAATCATTTAATTCACAATTGAAAATACATGTTAATTGATAACATATATTCTATGTAAAATAAACATCATGAAAACTTCATGCCTTCAATTTAGGTATGCCAATGATGAAAATTTTAGGATCAATATATAATAATAAAAAAATAGAGACTTGTATAATTACAATATCACATTTCATAATAGATCAATTATCTATTGATTTTGTACTTTCCTTTGCATGTCAGGAAATCTTGATATATAGTCTTAATATCTTTCATGATGAGACAATTATGTCTAAATAAAGCTGTAAATTTCAGCAATCAAGACGTAACAAACCCCATGGAATAAAATAAATCCACGGAACATGTATTGATATTGCGCTACAGATATACCTTTGCAAGGGTGAAGAGATCTGTATTATAAATCATTGGAGCTAGGGCACACATGTTCAAACAAGATACAATCAGACAATCTGTGAAATTCTATGCAAAACAATTCTAGTTGGCCACTTATTATTTGGTAGTCTCAACAGCTCAAGCAAATGCAGCATATGTCTTTTTAATAAATATAAATTTTCTTTCCAAGATAGTGTCAATATCCCAGTGACCAGCTCTTACTCACTTGAGAGAGAGAGAAAGAGAAATAGAGAGTTGATTCTACATTGAACAGTAATTTGACCATTTTTGAGTTCCTGTATATTTTGACATAAAGGTTATTAAATATTACAATATTTAAAACAGAACTCCTTTTGTAACCTGACCAACCCCTTCCCTCAGAGCCAGAAATCAATCTTCAGTCTATAGTACATGCTGATATATATTGTAAAATTAGCTTCACATGTACAGATGCAGTTCTTAGGGTATTGTACTTGGAGAAGATGTAGAAATATGACAAAATTATGCCGAATGATTAACAAAAACTCTACAAAGAAACTATTCAATCTAAATGTCTATCTAGCTGTCTAATAGCCACCTTGATTTCTGTTAAGAGAGAAATAACCTTTACAAATTAATTCTAGTGTCAGTCAAGTTTACCATCTCAAAGGTTAGCTAATTTATATGGTTGATCTCTACCTTTTCCCAAACAAATATTATGCAAATAAGAATCATTCTAAATGCCTGACTTATCTAAATCCTCTTTATGTTTAAAGACCTTATTTTGAAAATGTATATATTTTTTCCCCCGTTACAATGTAAAGTACTTATGTGAATAACCTCAATGAAAATTCACCTGGAATAAGCTTCTTACTTTGGAGGGGACAGGATACAGAAATCTCGTACTGTTACCAACCAAGTTTTATAGCTTGATCTAAAGTTTTAATCAGCATTTTATGGGCCATTCAGAAACATAATTTGCATGAATATCTGCGTAACTTAAGAGCTTTACCCTGTTTATATTTCCCATCAACACATTCATCATAATTTGATGCAAAATGAAATATTCCATGTAATACTATTATCCATCTCATTAATTTTTTTCAGAGAATTTCTGAATTATACATTGATATCTAAATGCTTATCATAAATTTCTTTTTTTTCCTATTCAAACAGTGAAAGAAACCATAAAAGTTTAAGTCTTATGTAAACATCATCGGTTTGCACTGTAAAAATTTAGTTCTGAATCAACCTCAGCCCTAAGCACTATATGGATGAGTCTCCACGTTCTTTATGTTTGTTGGGACTGACCTCTCTATGACATGAAGCAGTCTCCATGTCCATTACTTTACTTAGACTGACCTCTGTATGACATGAAGCAGTCTCCATGTCCATTACTTTACTTGGGACTGACCTCTGTATGACATGAAGCAGTCTCCATGTCCATTACTTTACTTGGGACTGACCTCTCTATGACATGAAGCAGTCTCCATGTCCATTACTTTACTTGGGACTGACCTCTGTATGACATGAAGCAGTCTCCATGTCCATTACTTTACTTGGGACTGACCTCTCTATGACATGAAGTAGTCTCCACGTCCATTACTTTACTTGGGACTGATCTCTCTATGACATGAAGCAGTCTCCATGTCCATTACTTTACTTTGAACTGACCTCTCTATGACATGAAGCAGTCTCTACATCCATTACTTTACTTGGGACTGACCTCTCTATGACATGAAGCAGTCTCCATGTCCATTACTTTACTTGGGACTGATCTCTCTATGACATGAAGCAGTCTCTACGTCCATTACTTTACTTGGGACTGACCTCTCTATGACATGAAGCAGTCTCCATGTCCATTACTTTACTTGGGACTGATCTCTATATGACATGAAGCAGTCTCTACGTCCATTACTTTACTTGGAACTGACCTCTCTATGACATGAAGCAGTCTCTACATCTATTACTTTACTTGGGACTGACCTCTCTATGACATGAAGCAGTCTCCATGTCCATTACTTTACTTGGGACTGACCTCTCTATGACATGAAGCAGTCTCTACATCCATTACTTTACTTGGACTGACCTCTCTATGACATGAAGCAGTCTCCATGTCCATTACTTTACTTGGGACTGACCTCTCTATGACATGAAGCAGTCTCTACATCCATTACTTTACTTGGGACTGACCTCTCTATGACATGAAGCAGTCTCCATGTCCATTACTTTACTTGGACTGACCTCTCTATGACATGAAGTAGTCTCCACGTCCATTACTTTACTTGGGACTGACCTCTCTATGACATGAAGCAGTCTCCATGTCCATTACTTTACTTGGGACTGACCTCTCTATGACATGAAGCAGTCTCTACATCCATTACTTTACTTGGACTGACCTCTCTATGACATGAAGCAGTCTCCATGTCCATTACTTTACTTGGGACTGACCTCTCTATGACATGAAGCAGTCTCTACATCCATTACTTTACTTGGGACTGACCTCTCTATGACATGAAGCAGTCTCCATGTCCATTACTTTACTTGGGACTGACCTCTCTATGACATGAAGCAGTCTCTACATCCATTACTTTACTTGGACTGACCTCTCTATGACATGAAGCAGTCTCCATGTCCATTACTTTACTTGGACTGACCTCTCTCTGACATGAAGTAGTCTCCACGTCCATTACTTTACTTGGGACTGACCTCTCTATGACATGAAGCAGTCTCCATGTCCATTACTTTACTTGGGACTGACCTCTCTATGACATGAAGCAGTCTCTACGTCCATTACTTTACTTGGGACTGACCTCTCTATGACATGAAGCAGTCTCCACGTCCTTTACTTTACTAGAGACTGACCTCTCTATGACATGAAGTGGTCTCCACATCTCTCTGTGATGTTTGTTTGCACTCACCTCTCTATGACGTAGAAATTGTCTCCATCATCGCCCTGATCAATGACATGGTCTCCATCCACAACCTAACAATCAAAGAAAAAAAATTGATGTCAATATTTCAAGAATTAAATCAAGGTGAAAACAGTCCAATCCAACACCTGTGCTATTCTGATGATAAATTTCTTTCCCATTCTAATGCAATTGTTTTGTAAAACACGTTTTGATTGGCTAATGCACTGATGTTTGAAGCAGTAAAACAAGCATTAACGAGTGTGAAAGCTTTTTCATTGTGACGTCATAATAGAGCGACGCAAAAACACAATGCTCCATGACGTATTTCATGTAACAAAATTCAACAAAATAAGATGTAAACAACAAACAAAATGCATGGATTGCATTAGAATGGGAATAACTAATCTTCTAATTTGGTATTTGCGACCGTTAATGCTGATTCAACGGTCGCAAACATCCGTTTTACCGGCTCCGCTTATGCGTTGCCGGTAAAACTCAGTTTGCGACCGTTAAATCAGCATTAACGGTCACAAATACCAAATTAGAAGATAGTTATTCCCTAATTTTACTACTGTAAATCACTTTTTATTCGCGTGAACTTTATTTTCGCGTAATTACGCGAGACAATGTGCTCGCGAAAATTTAATTCTCGCGTATAATAGTATTCCTTAAGATCAAATAGAGCAGTAACCACAATTCGTGAAAATTTTGTGTCGCTAATCAATTATCAATGACTATCTCGCGAAAATAAGGTGTCGCGAAAATTAAGTGATCTACAGTATTTTCCATGTTTTACACACTGTGCAATCTGACACCCTGCCTATTCCAACATGAAATTCATCTCCTAATGCATGTCAGAATAAACAGGTTTCACAGTATTTCTAACCTTACTCCTTACCCCCAATTGTAAATTTTATAATTGCATAATGAAACCAATGTGCTGACTAAATGATTGTAAGAAATTTTCAATTTTGTTTATTACACATCTGAAACCTAAAGCAGAGGTTCAAAAAAAAACCTAGATTAATTAGACAGGTTACTAAATGAAAGGTTCACAACATCAATAAATTAACACTTATCTATTGATAATCAAATTAACATTTCCATAAAGAACAATTTAGGAGTAAAAACCAAAGATCATGTTACAACAAGTAAAAATCTTGTTCTGTAATAAATAAAATTTTCTTTTTCCACCCACTGCATTTCACACAAAGATCATAAATCTTGGGTGCTCAGGGATTTAGGTTTGGATTATTGAACATAACTGGTATGTTTTCTCACTTTGGAGGATATTCATCAAGGTTTGAACTAAGCAAGTAATCTCCTAAAAATCTTTGATAAAAAAATTTATATCTCTTCTCTGAGCAATCCATGTTAGAAATCACATGCTCCAGTCTGACAGATCAGCAATAATTTCCTAAACCGAGTCTACACAATTCTTGTCCTTACATTTTAAAATTTGCTAAAATGTATATTTTTAAAAAAAAAAATTGCTCTTAAAAAAATTCCTATAGCTGTGATATTTTCATCATGTTGATTTATCCTACTTGGAGACAATCCCTTAAATTCAGGCCTACAGAGGATGGTTGTTCTGTTTGTATAGTTGGACAGGTGTAAATGGTATGACCCTCATTCAACCAGGTGAATTTGACCATTTATCTTCATTACATTCACATCACAACAAAGGACTCAAAAATCCATCCATCTGGTCTACAGGCCAACCAGGAAAATCATAAATAATAAAGACTTGACTCACACACTTTTACAATGTAGCAACCAATTCTGAACTCTATTTACAAGAAATGACTATCTAGTATGAAACACAATTAACCTTAAATTTCTGTAATATATTTAAAATATGTTTAAACTGCTACTAAAATTAGAAATATGCTGCCGAAGGTACAATACAAATGCAACATAAAAATTTGTGTTAGTGTATGATTAGTTTCATATTCAGAATATCTTGAATACCTTAGTAACAATCAATATGTTTCAGAGCATGGAGTTTGATAAAAAATATCATGTCTAAATGTCTATAGCTTTTTAAGACTGAGCTTTGATCTGAGCTAAATGCAAAGTGATGATGGTAGGATAGGATGCAAGGACAGAACAGGGTCATGACAAACTCTATATGCCCCGGCCATATTCATGGTGGGGCATAAAAACAACAGGATTAATCCTAAAATGACTAAAGGTCATGGAGCAAAGTCAAACAGAGCAGAGGTATGCACAGAAGACTTTAATGCTTTTAGCATTTGCTTTCCTTTTTCTTTGTCACCTTCTATGGAGTTTTCCTTTCTCATTTTTCTTTTGATATAGCCTCTACATCGTGTATCTGCTAATTAATCAGAGAGTGTACTGGCTAAAGTTTGAAATAAATGCATAAAATAAGGGTTTCTTCACCCCTCAATTTCATGGCCAGTGGGGGAGTGGGTTAGTTGGGAACTAGAGATCTATAAAATTACAAGAAGGCAGAAGTTTTATAAATTCTAACAACTGATACAAATATTTTTTCTTTTTACAATCAATTCCTAATATATGAAATTTTCACCTTAAGCCCAGTACAAGGGGTCAAAATCTATATTAAGGCCATTAAAAGCTGTGGAAGTGAAAAAGACATTTAAAATATTTTCTCATCATTACTGTCCTACATGAGTTGATATTAATACTGTTTTGATCCCGAGAAATATAGAAAATTTACAGACATTAATAACTACATGTAGATAAACACCCGAGAATAATGAACCATTAAACAAAGGGCTTATCATCAAGAATCATCTAGTATTATGATAACACTAGCATAGTGATTGAACGAAATCTTTTTCTTCCATGGCACTCCAACTTAATGAGCTTCAAAAGACCTATGCCTATTGATTTTGGTTCTGTCCACAGCTTTCAGATAACAGAGGAAAAAGTGGCAAAAACTATGCCTAATCATCGGTGTAATGCCTCTAAATGATGGATAATCACAGACTGATTCAAGCAGGGGGTGGTGGTAGCCATGTTTTAAGTAGGCACTAAAGCTAGCTCCCATATCCTCCAGCCATAGTTTTTAAAAAACACACACTGAACTGCTTGATAGCATCAGATAACTCTGTCATCACATCATTAAAAGATTTTCCACCATCAATTTCTGACATTTCACAAAACATTGATCTAGTACAACATTAATCAATCAAGTTATTTACACTTAAAATAATTGTTTTCCTCTCAGCCATTCCATTCAAAAAATATGAAGCCCATGGGCCACAATGCTGACCTGTGTAACTAAGGCCCTTCTTGCACATCATCAGTAGATTCTTCTTCCGATATATTCCCATGTTTTAAAATTGATCATATGTTGTAGCTCCACCCAACCCCTTGGTCATGATTTAACAAACCTAATATTTTTAAAGCCAGAAAGGCACTTAACCCTCTTCAACAGTTGCTGTTACACATATTTACTTACCTTTTTCTCAAACATGGCATCCAGGACCTCTTGCATTTGTTCCTGAAATATTAAAAAAAGAAAGATGAAAATGATCCTATGACAGAAAATACTTATAAAGTAATCAAATCAAATAATATTTGAACTGAGGTTGTAAATAAAAATGAAAAAGGTGAATATAATGAACAGTGATTGATCTAAGAAAAATCTACAAGCAATTCAATTTTGTGAAGAAGACATACAACATGGACTCTCAGAAATTCTAGAGGTGGGATCATGTGCCTCGGAGGAGTAAGTAACCCCTGTTGACTAAGCTCTATGTATTGATCAAGAAGATGGAACACTCCATAGTCAAGTGTAGTTAAAAAAACAATGAAAAAGTTGGATTGAAAAATGTGAGCCAAAATAAAACCCAGTGATATATGTTAACAAGGTCATCACAGGGACAAAAGAATAAATGAAATGCTGACTATAAATAAGGTTGTAAATCGATGTTGATATCAATTAAATGTGAAGGTTGTATACCAACAAGCTAAGTTGACCTAAATTGTAATAATGTCGCTGTCATTTACAATATATCAATATCTGTACGTAAAAGTCAACTTTCAAATTGAATGTTCTAGTGAAAGTATCTCATACTTCGAGCGACTTAAAATCTTATTATCATTTAGGCATTAAGTTTGTATCTTTGAGATGCCATGGAAGCCATCAGCAACACTGGCCCTTATAAATAGGTTACTAAGAGTAACTTTGCTTTTCTATCAAGTATATTCTTTATACTTTTGAGCCCCCTCTCTAGATAACAAAATGAATTTTTGAGGTTGCTAAGTTCAGAAACAAGAAAGCAAGACATTTTTATGTAGCCCAAGTAGCTTTATCAGCACCATGAAGAAAAAAAACTTAAATGTTGAAAAATAAACTCAAACAAAAAAGGGAATGATAAAAGAAAGTAGATGGAAAAGTACCTAGCGAACTGTAGTTGCAAGAAAGAGGATGTCAGCTGACAAAAAATCCACTAAACCCTGAACACTATAACATGCTTACAACAAAGTGCAAAAGATGAAGAAATTCAATCACTTTAACTATAATCTGTTTTACCCAACAAGCTTATAAAACATGTCAATTTGTAAGAACTGGAAGTAAAAATTCATTCTATATAAGAGTGCATTTATTTTAAGCACGTATTATGAAGCAGTGGTACAACTAAATCCATTCCTATTATGTAACTTAATTTTTACATTGTTACATTAACTAAAGTACAGTAAAACTTGATTATAACGAAGTCACTGGGACCTGGAAAATTACTTTGCTATATCCATAATTCGCTGTATCCGTAAAAGGAATTCATTAAATTTTGTGTAGCTGATGGGGGTCCAAGATAACTTCGCTATATCCATGAATTCGCTATATCCGTGTTTATACTAAAGAGTTTTACTGTACAGGGTAACCTAGGTCCAGATGACAATTATAAAGAGTGAGTAGATGAAATATATATCCCGGCCACTAGTGTTGTAAAATCGGACATATTTTACTATCGATTATCAAATTGAATCGGAAGAACACAATCGATTATATAATCGATAATTTGAACTATTATAAAGGTTAAATTTATTAATTCAGCACGAGTAGAATTCCATGACATTTGACCGCGAACTTCAACTTATCTTTATTGGCATACGACATTTTACACAATTTACAAATAACCGTGTCCATCTGTATATTATTTTTGCATGGAGGTCCATCGCCCTTTTACAGAAAGCCAAAATATTTTAAACTTTAGATCGTGTTGCACCAGGATACTGATATAATAAGGCGTCAACCTCTTCACCATGCACGTTCGCCATTTTGTTTACCGCCGATTAGAGTGACGTCCCTTTGGTGAATATAAAAGTTAAACCTGATCGGCTTAAAAAATACGGCATGAAAAATATAGCGATCTATCGATGATAATATTTACAATCGATTGTAGCCGATCTGGGCCTTTAAACGACGATTTTTCGATAGTCGGCGACTATCGTAACAACACTACCGGCCACCATAACTCTCTATTCAATACAAGTAATCTGGTTCTGGTTAAGTTTTTAAATATTATCTTGGCATTATATCCAGTTTAACTCTGTTATTTATAGTAACATCTAATACAATGATATTAAACACTACAACAATTTAAAACAATGATATGTGCTCCTTTTTGCGTGTGTTAGTGTATTACTAGGAATCCCTGTATCATTACTAGGAATGGTATGGCCTTTAATTGATCAACAATACCCAAGGATCATTAAACATCAGATTAAGACAGATCTGCTGACACAATAAAAGAGGATCCAACCTGGCCCTCTCTTAATTACAAAATAGGAACAGCTCTGATGAGGGATGACTCTCAGGAGGGGGCATCAGGCCTGAAAACCTGACATTTCTCAGAACTGACTCACATGTTCTAATTGCACTTCAAAGTCAGAGCAAACCTTGCCAAGTTATAGACTGATTAGACTCTAGTCAATTATTCTACCTAACCATCTTATTAAAAAAACATTAAGAGCTGTCGGGCTGGCCATTTTCACAGTTTGAATATGCATTTGGCTGAATGGTGGACAACTCGCCCCCAAGACAGGTCGCCCCCAAGACAACTCACCCCCTACTCAGGACAACTCGCCCCCAATTTAGGACAACTCGCCCCCATTCAAGACAACTCGCCCCCAGTTTAAGAAACAAGCAAAAAAAAAACCTATATTATTTAGATATTTTAATTCAAATTGTTTCTAGAAAGTTAAAACAAACTTCTGAAAATAAATTTTCTCATTGTGTTGAAAAAAAGAACAGAAATATTTAATATTTAAACACTATCGTTATTGTCGCCACTGGCACTTTTTATTTATATCTTCGCTAAATTTACATATTTATTTTAAACTTTCATTACAAAACCTAAATAAATGTAATTCTCAGAGCTTGCATGCTAAAATTCTCCATCATGTTGAAACTGCTTCGGAGCTTGGAAACGACATGCCAATTTTAAAAAACCAAATACATCGTTATTTCGGAGCTTGCATGTACTAATTTAAATTAGTTATCACTTTGAAGTATCAAAATTAGTTGTAAGCTTGGGTATGTCATTAAATTTTCTGTCTGATGTTTTCATTTAAAATTAAGTAATTATTATTATCATCAGTTTCCTAACGCCGTCGGTTTACGTTATTTCGTCATTCAATAAAATTTAAGAAGGCATAGGTTTTATGATAAATCTTTGATGCATACACAGTGTTTTAACAAAGATTAGACGTCAATGCATTATGAAAAAATAAATAACCTAGCTATTACAACGGTAAGTATTGATTATAATTTAATTTTGCATATAAAATAAACATTTTTGAATATCATTTGGGTTTTTTTCCTTGCATTTAATAAGAAAATAAATAGTGGGGGTGACTTGTCTTGAGTGGGGGCGAGTTGTCCTAATTGGGGGCGAGTTGTCTTGATTCCATTTGGCTAGCCAAGTGTAAAATGGAATGTAAATATACGTACATGTCTGGTGTGAAATGTTTTGCTAATTATCTATCACATGAACCAGAAGTGTACTAAGTAGAATTAAAGATCAAAGTCACACATCTGCATATACAATATATTGTCACTTTTACTAAAATGTCAAATTATTTATTCTGTTGGCTGAAGTCAAATGAAATGTTTCCAGAGAAATGGAAAGACACATATTAAAATATGAATTTGTTGTCTTTATCAAAATCTGATTTAGGCTACCAGTATTTGAAGTCCTTTAAATATTTTTATCAAATTAATCTATGGTTTCACCTTTCAATGCATTTACATCAGCATCTTTTTCCTTCAACTGATGGCCTTTGTAATAATTTGTCTACAAAATTTGCCTTCAGTTGAAAGCAGGAATAAGATATATTTTGTTATTTTCTATTAACATGATAAAATACACTACCATACTTTTTTTTTTATAAAGAGACGAATAAGTAACACCAGATGCCTGTGAGAGCAATATAAAGTAAGGATATCATAGTGACAGCCACCAGTAGTTGTTCATTCTACTGAAACATAACAACACCCCCAGGAAAATTATAAGATGCCTAAATCTCCCACAGATTTTAAATTTATGCATATTTGGATAACCAGAAGTCTCTGTCGAGACTGAAGCTCTACTGGTTTGTACTTATAGCAAAGGAAGAGGAAAGTACTTAAGCAGTTGGGAATTGAAAATTTACACAGGCAAAAAAGAGAATAATGATCCTTGAATAAGTCTCTTTATGAAGAGAGTGTAGTCTACTTGCAAGCCACATTATATTATAATCAGACTAAAACTGTATTTGAAGTAGCAAATTTGAGTGTAACAGAAATTGCTATCTTTATTAACCAAGGTAATAATGTTTATTGAAGTCAAAAACGGATATAAAGAATTATGTACCTTAGTGTAGTCTACTTGAGTGCCAAGTTATATTGAAATCATACCAAAACTGTAGGAGGAATAGCATTTTGAAAGAATTTCACAGAAATTTTTATTTTTGGTAACAACGCCAACACCGTTCGTCGAAATCAATTTAAACCGATATACAGAATTATGTATCTTAGTGTAATCTACTTGTGTGCCAAGTTATATTGAAATCAGACTAAATTTGTAGGAGGAGTAGCATTTTGAAAGAATTTCACAGAAATTTCTATTTTTAGTAACAATGCCAACACCGTTCGTTGAAATCAAAAACCGATACACAGAATATTATGTATCTTAGTGTAGTCTACTTGTGTGCCAAGTTATATTGAAGTCAGACCAAAACTGTAGGAGGAGTAGCATTTTGAAAGAATTTCACAGAAATTTCTATTTTTAGTAACAACGCCAACATCGTTCGTCGAAATCAAAAACCAATATACAGAATTATGTATCTTAGTGTAGTCTACTTGTTTGCAAAGTTATATTGAAGTCAGATCAAAAATGTAGGAGGAGTAGCATTTTGAAAGAATTTCACAGAAATTTCTATTTTTAGTAACAACGCCAACACCGTTCGTTGAAATCAAAAACCAATACACAGAATTATGTATCTTAGTGTAGTCTACTTGTGTGCCAAGTTATATTGAAGTCAGATCAAAAATGTAGGAAGAGTAGCATTTTGAAAGAATTTCACAGAAATTTCTATTTTTGGTAACAACGCCAACACCGTTCGTCGAAATCAAAAACCGATACACAGAATTATGTATCTTAGTGTAGTCTACTTGTGTGCCAAGTTATATTGAAATCAGACTAAATTTGTAGGAGGAGTAGCATTTTGAAAGAATTTCACAGAAATTTCTATTTTTAGTAACAATGCCAACACCGTTCGTTGAAATCAAAAACCAATACACAGAATTATGTATCTTAGTGTAGTCTACTTGTGTGCCAAGTTATATTGAAGTCAGACCAAAACTGTAGGAGGAGTAGCATTTTGAAAGAATTTCACAGAAATTTCTATTTTTAGTAACAACGCCAACACCGTTCGTCGAAATCAAAAACCGATACACAGAATAATGTATCTTAGTGTAGTCTACTTATATGCCAAGTTATATTGAAATCAGATCAAAACTGTAGGAGGAGTAGCATTTTGAAAAATTGTTTACAGACAGACAAACAGACAGACGGACAGACGGACCTGCCTAACGCATTATTCGCATAAGCTCTTCTGGTCTCTGACCAGTAGAGCTAAAAAAAAATTAAAATCTATTCAAACTGTAATTGGGTAAATCTGTGATGTCATATAAAACACCATAACTCAATCTGTCTCTAAATTATAGGTCTCTAAGGTGGATAAAATATGTCTCCTCCAATCCATTTTACATCACTCTGTACTGGATTAGGCCTCAATTTAGAGACCAGTTTGGTCTCACTGTACCCTAGAACTTTGGAACCTAGTACATAGTCCTGCTGAGTGAAATCTGATGTTCAAATGTCAAACAAATGCAGCTGAATTTGAAATTATAATACACTTTATGTCATGCTTCAAGTTAAAACTAGAGGTAAAGGTTTTACATATAGAGCCATATTAGACCTAAACAAACAAAGACCCAGCTCTGCACATCCAGATCTGATAATATTAATGAAGAGAGACACTGTGTTGTGGGATAAAATCTCACAGGATCTTTAGTAAGAGGATGACAAATTGACTGCCTTCTATAAGACTAAATAGATTGGGATCTCATCAAGTTAAAAATGTTGTGTATCCTAGCTACTTCCTTCTGTACAGTGAGTGTAAGCAGAACACTAGTAGAAACTCCAGCCTGTAGGAAATACTGCTTCAGATGAACCCACAACTGCAGATTTTTAAGATTGGGTTATTATTGCAGAAAGTTCTGACAATGGTCTTTATGGAGAGTCATTGTACAGGATCAAACCACAGCCATTAATTTAAAATCACACACTTTAGCTTCCGTCTGTTTTATGCATGCACTAATTACAAAATGTAGTCACATGTAAATCAGGTTGAAAAAACATGAAGGAAGAGATCAGAATGATTAATATTCACTCAGTGTCACCATAGGATTTTCACAAGAAAAAACAAAACATTGCAATACCAAGAACTAAGAGTAATAATTTCCCACTGGTTGGGCTTACCGGTTCTAATGAACGGAACAGGAGGATATGATTAACTGCTTCAGCCAATCTCTGTCTTTGTTCATCTGACTTTGGGTGGACGATCTACAACCATACAAAGAAACATATAAGGCAATGCAACAGTTAATTTAGTTTTGTGTAAGTGTACAGAATTAGTGACTTTAGATTGCTGTGAAGAAATTAGAACACGTGTGAAATGCCATGCTCTAGCAGTGGCTAGTTTGTATGTGACAATGCAGTAGACTTAATCTTAAGACAAAACACTGACCCTGCCTAAAACCAAATTCCATTTGGTTCTGGCCAAGTTAACTAATAAGGGTTCAAGTAATGGACAGACCAGAAATCAATGTTCATGTCTCGACCCTTTAACTTTAACCTCAAGACAAGGAGTTCCAATTTCTTTAAAATTTATTTCTTGCTGTCTGAAAACTTATGCAAGATAAATATATGTTTGAGAATGTGATAAAGTCAAAGCTCAGCAAAGTCTGCTATCTAACTTTCGGCAGATCACAGATGTCAATTCACTGATCTTAACTAAGGAAGTCGTGCAGAGTGTGTGGTTTCCTGTTACTGAGGATCACACAACCCAACTGTCAGTCAAACAGACAAAGTCATTTTTACAGTACACGATATATTCTATGTAAAACTTGTTTCATGCCTGTACGGGGGTCAAGTTCAAACTTAATGAACACAAATCAATACTGGCCCAGCGGTTCTGGAGAAGAAGATTTTTTAAAAATCTCATACCCATTTTTTTTTAACAAATTCAAAATATATTTCCTTAGAAATCCCCTTGGAAAAGTCAAAAAAAAACTTTGGCATTCATCTGGACAGTGTATGTCACATCTAGCATCAGAAGCAAATCTTGTAGTGAACAACCTTAGATGCATCATCTTTGTGTCCAGTTATGGTTTATTGTTACTTAGGAATTGAACTTAGACCTGTCCAGTCATCTGAGAAGAAGAAAAATGTGAAAAGTTAAGACGACAACGACGCACAGGGCTAATAATCATTAATATGGAAAATGTAGGTGAGATCCAGCATCCAAAGCCAAATATTTCCATTTCTAAAATTTTTTTCTGCTGTGATAACTCTTTAAATAGTTTTGAGAATGTGATAAAGTCAAAGCTCAGCAAAGTTTGTCCCATTTACTGCTATCTAACTTTCGGCAGATCACAGATGTCAATTCACTGATCTTAAATGAAGGAAGTCGTGCAGAGTGTGTGGTTTCCTGTTACTGAGGATCACACAACCCAACTGTCAGTCAAACAGACAAAGTCATTGTACTACAGTACACATTACATTCTTGTACTGTTTCATGCCTGTACTGTATCAAGTTCACTTAATGAACACAAATCAATACTTGGTCAGGATTTCAAAATCTCATACCCATTTTTTTTAAAGTCTAAAGTTTCTACAATATTTATTTCACAATGAAATGGAAAATAAAAAAAAACTTTAATCTGATCACTCAGAGATAGTGTATGTCACATCTAGCATCAGAAGCAAATCTTGTAGTGAACAACCTTAGATGCATCATCTCTACATGTTTGGTCCAGTTATGGTTTATTGTTACTTAGGAATTGAACTTAGACCTGTCCACTCATCTGAAAAATGTAGTTAAGATCCCGCACAGGGCTAATAATCATTAATATGGAAAATGTAGGTGAGATCCAGCATCCAAAGCCAAATCATGTATGTTCCTAGATGCATCATGCAAATGCAGGTTAATTTAGGTAAGACAGTTACATGACAACAAACCTACTTCAAAACTTTAACCAGTTCACTAATCTCTGGAGAAAATAGTGAACGTCATGTAAAGCATCTGAAGAAAAACCTGGTAGTGTATATTTCAAAACGATTATTTATTTAATTATATCTGAAGCTGATGTGTACTGTATTTTTATTAATAATTAGATATGTAATAAACATAATAAAACATCTCCTTTTTCACATCACATCCTGTATCAGCCCTCGTGCCTTCGTCCTTTGGGCTGATATTTTCTGTCTTGGGCTGATACAGGATGTGATATGGAAAAAGGTTGTTTGTATTATTCTCTTAATAGATGCATCATACATCTTATGAAGGGAGGTTAATAACAAAACATCCCTATTGTCATCCTTGCAAGTTTGGTCTACATTCTGAAATGATGTCACATGAACAATGGCTTTCCCATCTAGGTTGAATTTTCCAGTTCTTGGGAATATTCACCCAGGATTGTCCCAAAGACCTGGGGACCAGGAAGGCCACAGGAATTTTCCCCTTATATAAAACATCATGGCTGATTTTAATCCTTATAATGACATTTACTTGACCCCCCTCCTCTCCCCCGTGCTGAACAGACCATAAAGTTTGTTAATTTAACATAATCTGGCATGTCTGATGCCCTTTTGACGTTTGTTTTTGAATTCTGTATCACCAAGACGTTTGCACTTAATTTCTGTTTGTTTAAACGTCTTGATGATACCGACTAAAGGACTAAAAATTTCGAATGTTAAAGCCCCGACATTTTTGGAAATTTAAAAAAAAAAGTGCAATCAGGTATCGTGATACTAAATTAGATGAATCGATCTGTACATCGTCAAAGTTAACACTGTTATGCATCATAGCACCGGTGGATCGTCCCACTACTACCTTATAAAGTATACCTGCACCAGTAAGGTCATTTGTATGTTACATCTAAGGTTGACCTTAAGACCTGGGGCCAGGGAACTTCCCCACAAACATGTATTATTCATACACATTATCCTCCGTTATTCTGGTTTTCCCCCTTGGATGGAACTTCAGACCGGACCCTTTTACTTTTTAATGCCCCCTTCTATTTGGATTCTTATGAACATGCAGTCCTTCATGGTATTATAGCAAATTATTCAAACAGGTATATATATTTTTTTTAACTTGCGTAGTTTGTAATCATTCTCTTTAGTGCTGTCTTGAATATTGTTGTCATGTATATAACTGATAAATGAACAATTTAATCCCCATTAAATCCCACAACATTAAACACTTTAGGTATTTCATTGTGGACATTTAAAGCTAGTTTTATACAGATTAGCTAGAGACATAAAAATTCAATATCTTGGGGAGTTTAAAGTATTATCAAGGCCATAATACATTCAAACTCTGCATTGTAAATTAAACAAAACTATGACAAGAGCACTTAACCTTCTATGATGGGTTTTACCCCTTTAGTTCACTAACCTTTTCATACTCGTCATCGCTCTCAGGGTTATATGGGGCAGCAAATACTGAAATTAAAGAAAAGACAAGACATTACAAACCTATTAACAAGAATGTATCATTTTTTTTCTATTATTATTTTTTTTTTTGAAATTAGGTCAAAGTGTAAGGTAATGGGGTCAAAAATCAAAGTACAGAACATGCACATATTATTTGGAAAGATATTGTCAATTTTAATGTACAATTTGAAATATGAAAGCCCTTAATATATACAGACCTGCCTACCCTTTTCCTTTCAATGGTGTAATTTCAGTACATTTTTGTTGTAATTTCAGAGGTAAAAACGTAATCAATCATGTTTTCCTATTTTTTTTTGTGTTACGACAATAATTTATTTTCTTTCAAAACAACCAAAAATTGTACATTAATTACTAAACAAAGCTGGCATAAAATTGTTCTTAATTTTTCGAATCATCTATTGGCAAAGAAAGTGTTGTAAAATACCAGTATCCTATATCAAATTTAATTCAACCGTACACCATTAATGAAGCATTTGGTCAATTTGTATCAAATCCCTTAATTGAAGGCTGGCGTTTGAATGTTAAAATAAATCGTACATTATAACATTGTTTTGGTTTCTTTTTAATCTTTTTAACACCCACATTTCTCTATCTTGTTCTAAGCAATGTTAAAATAAACTTAATTGAGCATAGAAATGGCTGTATACGTTTCGCAATATCGTTTAATAGTTAACGTAAGTAGTGCCTTCTCGTCTTCTTCCGAATCTTCGCCATTCCAGTTTACATGTAACTACTAGATAGAATACTTACATTATCGAACTGGTCTTTGAATTACTTTTATAAGAACTTTTCATTTCATTTCAGCATGTCATACTTTAACTCTAAATTTAGACGTTCGTAATGGAATTTTATCCAAAATATAAAAAGCGTAAAATTAATATAAGTGGCGTATTAGCGTAATTTTGTGGTAAAAAGCGGAAGAATTACGCCAAAAGCAGAAGGGTAGGCAGGTCTGTATATATTTTAGAAGAACAGAAGAGAGTTATAAAAAAAACATTTTAAATAGATCTATGTTCTCTTTGTTGACAAAAATTCTGCTGTGTAAAACTTTGGACTCCTCATCATTTTATTTGACATTCCTCAACTCCAGAGAAAGGCTAATGTTCGATATAGAATCTCAAAGGACTTCTGCTCTCTGTAATTTGGTTTGGAGAACCTCATTGATTTTTTGCACCATTGACCAGAATATTCATCAAATTCTGTATGACAGTCCACGCTGGAAGATCTACCTGCATCACCAGCTCTCTAGCCAGTGGCATGGAAAGCCAAACTGTGTGGAGAACAACAAAGTCCTCTGTAAGGCTTCTCAGAAAATTACAAGAATAAAAAGGTTTCCTACATGATTATGTTTTAGTTTGGATTTCCCTCTACTCCTGGGGACACTAATAAAGCTGATCGATATATGTCATATACAGTGGTCAGTGTTTGCCAGGTCATATACAAGACTTATCACCCTCCTATTCATGCTGATGTTATGTAAAAGACATCCACTGTGATACAGTCACTGTAACATATTGTATGTTAAATCATGAATGCTTCTTAATATGTTTTTAATCACTTTTATGCGAGTTAAATTATAGGGCACTCCAGGTTGTAAAAAGTTCTGCTATGTTCATTTATCTAAAAAATTACTGCATGTATTATGGTTTCCCTGAGCCTTTTGCCAATTATTGAAGAAGACCTTGTTTTCTTTGTTGAAAGCTGTTGGAAACCTCAAGAGTTCATTGTTTCCTTATCGCCCACATTTTACATAAGTATGACAAAAGCAAGGCATTATCATTTATTATGTTTGTCCTCATTTGCATGCCTTGACAGTTTGAATTGGTGAATATTCCTTGCATTTTAACGAGACACCAATTTCAGTAATCAGCTGATAATATTGTCTGTATAAGCTTGACCTTCACCGGTACATTGTACAAAATGTTTATGTTTCATCAAGCTCTGTCAATGATGAATAAAGGTTCTGGTTAAAAAGAAGCAATGAACATAACATCAATATCAACTGTATACATATGTACACTGGATTCACATGAACAACTGATAAACAGATTTGAAGACCTTGTAAAATTTATATATCTCCTCAGTCTTCCATCTTTATTACAATGATAAAACTTGGGATAATGTCAAAATGGTTAGTCTTTGTTCAAAGTTCAACAGAGGGTTGGTAAGAATCAATTGACGCTGATAGATTACTTTTCCCTTGGTCCGTTCAGTAAAACATATGCACTAGATTGTACTTACCAGAACCTCTTCTAGTCCCACGTGCGTTTAGGTTAGGAGGGGGCTCTACAAAACACAAAATTAACATCTTAAACGTACTTGTTAGGTAAAATCTTGATGGCCTCATAAAACATTGAAGAATTATGTATGAGAAATGATCTTTAAAATTAAGCTTTGTTGAAACTTACAACATACAATTGGGGAAAAACCACATATGAAAGAAAAAAGGAATTCTCCTTTTTCATATATATGCATTTCAATGATTTTTATAAATAAATTGCAAATGCTTGAAAACTTTAACCTAACCAATTGGGCTATAGGACATCTTGATGTACACTGCACAAACCCAGTTCAATTTTTACTCTAGTAAATCAGTAATCAGGTTAGTCATTATACTGTGATTTCATTAATATTCATTGAGCATCAATTTTCGAAGATTTCACTGTTGAGCACTCAGCAGATCCAAAAAATTTAATGTTCACTGAACTTAAGAAATATGTTATTATTTTTTAGACACACAATCACTTTTATATCAAGTACACATTACGATCCTCACAAAGAGATGAAAACCCAGAGATAGTCCTCAGTGAGAATCTTGTGAATTTGTGACACAGAGAAAACTAAAGACAACCATTGCTACAGGACACTGTGTACCTTCCATTAGAGTTTTGTTGACGGTAGAGTTCGTAAGTCGCTGCTCTCTGTATTTAGGCTCCATTTTACTCCACAGATTCCCCTGTAACTGTTCCCAGCCCTTTGTGACTGTTCATTATGAAATGAAACAGACACAAAAACTATCACTTCCAGCAAAAGTCTCTTGAACAAAAGCTAGGTACCAACAATATCTTCTATCGGAACATGCTAAAATATTGGATAATGATGAGATTGAACAGCGATTATACTGTGGGGCAAAACATCAGTACAAAACATTTCCCACATCAAGGATAAACTCTCCTTGATCACAGACCCACATCTAACATGTACCACGTTTGTTTAGGCCCATTTACATCTTGTATCAGACTTAGCCTTCAGAAACCTGAAGAAGTTTGACTCCCAGTAAAGTCACAGTCACCCACACAGCATCCGCACAATTAAACTGCGTCCAAGTAGCCAAGTTCCCCAAAATATAAAATCCATACAATTAAACTGTGTCCAAGAAGTTCCAAAAAAAGTCAAAATCCACACAATGAAACCGCATCCAAGTAGCCAAGTTCCCAAAATAAATCAAACCAAAATGCCTCACAATTCTGCCATATCTAATGAATTCGATATTATGACATAGACCCAAAGACATGAAAGAAGGCCTAGTTTGGCATCTTTGATACAAGTTACCATCCTTCTATGAATATGTCATTATGTTGGTTGAGCTCTGGTGATTTGTTTGGAATAGCTGACTATAGGATGGTCTCCTTGTCTGCTTAAGCCAGGCTAATCATGAATGACATAATCTCTAGACAACTTCAAACTTGATTTCCTCATTGTAATTAATGGGAAATCAATGTAACAAACCTGGTTCTTAGTACTGAAATTTGAACTGAAACATGACATACATATATATACAGATGCACAAATATTGTTCATAAACATGGATAAAGGCTATATATGTGTAACCTTTTAAAATAAGTGGAATCCTATATAAAAACAATGTAAAACATTGATTGTGGTGTATGCAACAAAATGTTAAAACATGGGATAAAAAGAATCTCACATGATTTGTAATTGGATATGATTTTTATCCAACTCGTGTGTTTTTATCCTCTCGCCAAGGCTCGGGGATATAAAACACACAACTCATTGGATAAAAATCATATCCAACTACGAATCATGTGAGATCCTATATTTATTGTGGATTTTTGTACGACTTAATCAGTAGTACTAGACATGTTTGTTTGCTCAGGTTAATTCTGAAAAGTGTCCCAGTATTGCCCGTACTGTTCTATAGTACTGTTCTATATTGTACTATTAAGAGCGAAAATAAGGACAATCATAACAATTATATAGAATTTTGCCAGTCTTGCCTTACAATGTTTCTTTTATTTTTTATTTTCATTACACAAGTCAATAAAAAATAAATTGTGAGGCATCACAATGACAACTTCTCAGACGAGTAAATTATAAGAAGAAATTTACATAAATCGAATAGTAGCAAGACTATTAATTTTAGTTTGTTTAAAACATGCATGATCATTTTCTGCCTCAGAAATGCGTTATTCTCATTCTGAATCAATAGCACCGTGCACGCACATCTTTATAACTGAGTTGTGACACTCACACAGCTTAAAGGGGAGGTAAAGAGGAGGGGGGGGGGGGCTCTTTAATATTCAAGTTTTAATTCTTTGTACATGATAATCATATTTTTGGGTGAGTCTGACTTTAAAATTTTCTTGGATGTAAAGTGAATATAGTTGTTCAAATTACTGCATGCAAATGTTAATTGACACCACTGAGGGCTAGCTCATAATGAAATTTTGATCCATCTATAAATATCTTGATAGACTGAAGTACAGACAAATCTTATAATCTTGAATCCATGTAACCATGAAAAGAAATGGAGAGAATTCAGAGTTGATAATTAATTATAATTAATAATAATATTGAGGTTGTAATGTTTATCAAAAAACATGACTGGGACTTCATACTTGCTTTGAGATATCACCATGGTATTTGAGAAAGTATAGAAATACATTGATATCACCCCCCCCCCCTCCAAAGCATCAAAAGCTAAATTACATGATTCTGGAGTACAGGTATACTGCATGTATATTACAATGAGAGTGACTTCACTAAATTGCCCTTTAGTTTTAACACATTTATATGCATGCATCTATTAAACTTTCTAAGCATCTTTAATTTTTTTTTACTCCACCATTTGTTTATAATCCATAATCTTCATATTAAATTTTAAATTTTATGCATTTGTAACATTATTTACAATGAATCATTTCAGACACAGTTGATAATCAACATTTAAAAAACTTATATTTTATGAGTACAGCTGTAAATATTTCGGTTTGAAAAATATGCTAGTTCAGATATATTTTTTAATCGAATAGATCTTTGCTCTACACACTCTTGTTCTATGAGTTCAATGCTTCAAAACAAATGCTTATAAAAACTTTTAAAAATACATTAAATACCCATAAGAATTCTCAGATTAACTCTAATCAAACTAACAATAAGTATAAGTAGCTGAAACTAAATAAACTTTATAGCTAGCTACTTATTGTTCATACAAATTTAATAGCTAGTTCACTGGGAACATAATGAAGATGTATGATTTTTGTCAATTCAGTATATTGTATATTCAGTTTACATAATAACATTTCACTGCATGTTGACATTGACCCATGCAATTGCCAGTGTATATCATGAACAAAATTAATGTTTACTTCTGTAATATAAACTAGAATAGTAAGGACACAATTTCAGATTAATAAATACACATGTAATATTTACTCGAGTTTCTTTTTAGATACCGTATAGCGGGTTATTTTAGCGGGGTGCTAATTTTGGCTTATTTTGGCGTCTTGATGGTAACACACTAAAATTTTAATCGCTAAAATATTCAGTACTCTTCTTTATAGTGTTCGTACATGCAAAGACCTAAAACCCCGTGTCTGCTAAAATAAATTAAATGCTAAAGATTATTAATATACCTTTGAGCAGACAAAACCCCAAATTTTACACCCGCCAAGAAAACCCGCTGTATACCGTAATAATGGTATAAATTTTGTAATAAATAATATTAATCATGCTAATAGAACTGTATTAATATCTCCATTATTTTCAAGCTAGAAATTTTAGTTTGGTGAATTGTCTATTGATTAATGAACTTTTTTCTTATCTACCAGGTAAATTTCATTAGAACCAATTTACATGTATTCCTTGAAATCCTGCATAAATCCTTTAAGCTATCAGAAGTTGATTTAAAATCAAATACAAGTGTTAAACGCAAGAGTAAGAGAGTTGGATAAAACAGTGTGCTCTTTATCTATATACTTCGCAGTCGTTAATGACAAATTTATTACAATGCTTTATGACTTTAATATATCACAAAATGCTATCCACTCTGGATTCTCCATATTAGCCTAGTTTTAAATAAAGATAATGTTGAAGAAGCATAGCAACTATCACTTAAATTATTAGGGGCTTTCTCAAAATCCGTTCATACCTGGCTCTTCATCGTCGCTGTCGGTCTGCATTGGTTCCTCGGGAGGTGGACTTGCTGCGAATCGTACGCCCCCCGCACGCACATTTTTAACTGAACTATCATTGTTTTTATTTTCATTTAACTTCACAAAGTAATCAGCTGCAAACTGAGTTAAATCACTTGGTCTTTCTTTAAGCACCGCAACTGTAAAATCCTGCAGAAGGTCTGTTAAACCGGTAGGAATCTCAAAACTCATGATTAAATAACAAAGTTTGATACGATAGAAGTACAACAGTACGTTTAAATTAGTCACATTAATCCAAAGAGTGAAAGTATGCAGAAATGATAGCTAAATTATCTACAAAAAGTTTTCCTCTTTGCCGTTTACCTATCCATAGCGAAAGTCTCCGAACAGCATAGGTTACTACACTATTGACGTCATTACCGGTTTTTCTCGCATTCTAAAGGGGTCGCGACTAAAGATAATTAAAAACATTTATTTCAAATTCATGCACTGAAGATCATGAAAATACAATACCAAATCAGGCACATCTACACTATTTCACGATAGACGACACAATCACCAAAACAAACTATAGGACTACTTTTTATGTTTAGAGCGCATGAATATTTATATTTGAAAGAGGCAAGGCTGTCGTACGTATGTAAATTCGATGCGCCTGTCCTGTTCAATAGAGATCTTTCTTTTTTAAAAGTACAAACGAATTTGATATGCGCAAATTCAAGTCTTAAAGAATTACTTTTTATTTGTTATACATGTAGTTATTTTTGTTTATAAGAGAAAAAACACAATTTGACCTCATCTCGAAATTACAATAAAGCACACTTTGCTTTGAGTTCATATAAAGTTCTGCCTCACATAGTTATAAATGTCAAGGTTTCTCGAACTCAAGAACTGCAAGGCAGGTGTAGCTAGGGTTTACGGACATGTCTTCTAACCTTCTACTCGTTAACATTTCCATGGTGAATTAATTCATCATACATGGAATACTTAATCAAATGTTAAATACACACCGTGACAAATTGTCGTTTTGATGTTCTGCCTTGAATTCTGAAAAGGAATTTTCTACGAACAAAAACTTTATTTAAAAAATATTCGCCACTCAGAAAGAACGATAATTAATGCAATAGTTTTCCTTATTTTTGTTTTTTAATTTCAGACTGGAAATATATGTAATGTTGACTGGAGAAAGTAATAATTAATTAAAATGACAATTCTAAGATGTGGGAAAAATGTAATTGTATCTCTAATAAGGAAGCTGGACACAAAATGCACCATCATCCTTTTTGGGGAGGGGGGAGAGGAATTATTAATTATATTGGACTTTATGCATCTCAGGTCACGTGAACGATTCAGGTGTTCTAGGCAGTAGTCATGGTAGTATATTACTAGCTGTTATCTCCCTTGTGAGTCATATATTCTTCAGCCATTTGCCAAACATTTTCAGCTTTTTTTCTGGAAACACGTAACCAAACTTTATCAGTTTTGGGATAGAACATCTTAGGATGAAAGGGAACAATGCAATCTTTAAAAATCTTTTCCTTTATTCCTGGACACCAAGCAATAAAATTGTTGGTTTCATTGAAAGCATCGAAACCTCTATATACCAAAGCAAAAGCCATGTCCTCAGGTAAAAAAGTTCTGCAGTTAGGATGTAACTGTATTGAACCTAAACTGAAATTACACATACTAATTTTTCTCCTTTTCTATACATCCCTCTATGTTAAGCAGACAAACTAAGTAAATGGATATGATGAGCAAGTGTGCCTCATCCAATAATGTGAAATTAATATGCATGGGACTTGGTATTGGAATCTGAACGCGTGGCTCTTTTAAAGTGAAGTTTATGAATTCTTTGAAATTCCTCTCTGCTCCTAGGTGTTATATTATTAAGCAGATTAACTAAATGCAAGGGTACTTCTTTTCAGAATTGTGAAATTTTTGGTCCCAGGGGTCAAACTTCCCACTTTCTCTTATGATACTAAAGAAGATGGGGGATAAGGCGGGCAAAGTGTCTATAATGCTACAGATAAGAAGTGAAAAATTAAATCTCAATTATATCCAAATCTTATTTGATATTTTATCTAATAATAAAGTATATTTAATGTAAATTCTCTACAATTTACAAAAATCTCATAAAGACTGAAAATATTTGCCTACGAAAGAGCATACACACACTAAAAAGAACAAAAAACGATCATTTTCTCATACTTAAACAAATTTTTTCAATATAAGTGGGTCTTCGCTCCATTTTTTGAAAGATAATCCTAAAAGTTTGCAATAGAATATACAATTTTTGGCTTACAAAAACATGGAGCAAAGACCCACTATACCTTAAAAGTACACTTTTATGACAAAATATTCGCATCTTTCCGAGAAATACTTTAAGTCCATTAAGTCAAGGGTTATATCACAAACATGATTTAAATGCCCCAGATCATCATGAGCCATGTAGCATAGTGGTTAGCGCGGTAGGCTCAATCTCAAAGCAGTATAATTCCTCGGATTTTTTTTGCTAGGGGTTTGAATCTCACGAACATCATCTAATATTTTTATAAAAGAATTTTTTTTTATGAGATTATTTTTTCTCCCATGAAAGGGTATTTTTCTAATAATTTCATAAATTTAAATAATGAGAAGTTAATCTACATACTCAATTCACATATCAAATATTATTTCTTAATAACTGACGCTGTAGGCATTCTGCCCGTCTTGTTCCCCCATCTTCTTTGACAACATATATACCCGGTAGTTTTCCTCTCTTGTATAGTAATATGCAATAAACTCAGGCGGCCGTTACTTAAGGCCATTTGGGCAATAGCGAAATCCCTAACACCAACTGTTCAAAAGTTATGGCCAAGGATAAATTTTTGAAAGACAGGTCAAACTCAAAGGTAGTTGTTGGTTTCTTAAGAAAGGTCTTGTCACAAGTAATACATATGTGTAGGATTAAAACCCTAACTCTTACCGATCAAAAGTTATAGCCAAGGTTAAAGTTTTTTGAAAGTAGGTCAACCTCTAAGGTCAAGGTCATTCTTGATATCAAATCAAAGGTCCTGTTACAAGGATTAAATATGTGAAATATGAAATCCTTATCCGTGACCCTTCAAAAGTTATGGGCAAGGTTTGTTTTTTAAAGTAGGTTAAACTCCAAGGTCAAAGGGTAAAAGTTCTTGATATGCAATGAAAGGTCTTCTCACAAGGATTACATATCTGAAGAATGAAAGCCCTAGCCCTCACCGTTCTAAAGTTATGATCAAGGTAAACGTTTTTTATAAGTAAAAATCTCCAAGGTCAAAATGTGAAAGTTGTTGGTATCAAATGAAAGATCTTGCTACAAAAAATACGTATATGAAATACGAAAGTGCTAGTATTTATCGTTCAAAAGTTGTGGTCATGGTTAAATTTTTTAAAAAGTAGGTCAAACTGCAAGGTCAAGATCGAAGGGTCAAAGTTCTTGGTATCCAATGAAAGGTCCTGCCACAAGGAATAAATATGTGAAGTATGAAAGCCTTAGCTTTAACCCTTCAACAGTTATGTCAAGGTTTGTTTTAAAGTAGGTCAAACTCCAAGGTCAAGGTCAAAGGGTAAAAGTTTTTGGTACCTAATGAAAGGTCTTCTCACAAGGATTACATATGTGAAGTATGAAAGCCCTAGCCCTTATCGTTCAAAAGTTATGGCCAAGATTAAAAAATTTTCATAAGTACGAAATCTCTAAGGTCGAAGTCAAAAGAACATATATGTGAAATATGAAAGTCCTAGTCTATACCATTCAAAAGTTATGGCCAAAGTAAAAGTTTGGAATTTTTGTGTAAAAGTGTCAAACCCCAAGGTCAAAAGGTCAAATTTGGTGATTTTCCAAAAAAAGGTCTTGTCGCAAGGAATATACCTGTGATATAAGAAAGTCAAAGCTCCAGTTAATCAAAAGTTATGGACAAGATTAAAGTTTTTGTGACGGACGGACAGACTGACAGACTGACGGACAGACGAATGAGATTTAATGTCCCCTCGCTTTCGAGAAAGTAGGGGAAAGTGAATCCAAATGAATATGTTTATATTAAATATAGATATAGATTTTCGGCTGAGGTAAACAAGTAAGATGATATGGATTGCTTCTTTAATAATAAGTTTATGTCATTCAAACATGGAATAGTAAAATATTATTTATTTTATTTTTGGTTAATAGGAAAAAATTGCCACCTCTGAAGTATAATATTCACCTCGTCCTTCGGGCTCGGTGAATTTCATACTCCTCAATCAGATATCTAAATCTGATATATAATGCATGGATTTTTTTTTTCCAAATTGTTAACATACTACTGATGTACATTTGTGATTGGGTGATTTTTAACCTCTTCACTGTGTTTTCTATCTCCGAGATTATGAATTTTCATCACTGATTTTTTTGTACAATGTACGCCGTGAATCATCCAGAATATTTACAAACAATAAAAAAAATTCGTATTTTGACCTATTGATGACAGCTTTATCTCTGCTTTACTGTAATAATCGTGTTACCTCACTGTTTAACGCATGGAATACAGATCTAGAATGTTTTTATAAAAATACATATGAAAATTACGTTAGTGAAGCAAAACTGCATGACACCAAACTTTTTCCTGAATTAATGTTGGAGTAAAACCTTTTGTATGACCTTGAAATAGATAAACGGTTTCAAAGAATGTTTGTTGGGACTATTAGGTTATTACTTTATATTAGTCAAATTTTAAATTTTTCTGCAAATTGCCCATCAAGCTAATTCTTTCGGAAAATCATAAGCATCGACAAAGCGACATTTTGTACAATTAAGCAGAAAAATATTTGGTTTGCTATTTTTGTTTTTATTTATTTATTACTTAATCAATGACAGGTCAATGGAACCTAGTTGTATTATGTTCACTCACTTCGAGATCGAAATGTCCTGGCTTTGATTCTCGTTCCAGGCGCCGGATCAAACCTTAGCTGTATATATATAATTTTTAACCAAGCGCTCAGCATTAGAAGTGAAAGTCACGGTTTTTCGTCGGAGATCTCAAAAATACAAAAAGATGAAGATATCTGACAGAATTTTTTTTACCGATCCCAGAAATATACAGGCAATACAAATCAGCAGACAGGGCATTAAACACGGACCATCGTAAACTCCACAGGTGGGATCAGGTGCCTCAGGGGAGTGAGCATCCCCTTGTCTAATCCGTTCGTGTTATGGTAACCGATGACACAAAAAAGATCTTACACTGCTATGACCGAACGAATAATGCTTCAAAATTGAAGCCGTTCACCGTTATAAGGTTACGTCGCAATAAGAGTTAAAAATTCTAGATTCAGATTATCAGCCATCATATAATTAATCAATTTATCTCATATAGAAGTTCTACTTAAAATAATGTATATTCTGGTACAGATTGATGATATATGTACCTCTATAACTATTTGATATCTGAATTAACATATGATGTTGCAAATGTACTATTATGTTTAATTTGACTGAATTAATTCAACTTGTCAGCAACGTTTTTTTTTTTTTTTTGATAAATTTATAACTAGAAACTGAGAACACTTCTGTCATGTTATAAAAGTCG